AGCTGCTGGCTCTGCTGCGGCTGTGTCGGCTGCTGCGGAGAATGAAAACACCCGGAAACCACCAGGCGCCAGGGGGTGCGCCTGGGTACTACTACTACTACTACTACTGCTACTACTACTACTACTACTAGTACTACTACTACTACTACTAGTACTACTACCTACTACACCTACTACTACTACTACTCCTACTACTAGTACTAGTGTACGTGCTACTGCTACTACACCCTAAACCCCATATTATGTTTCTAGAGGGGGGCTATGCACTGAGCAACATGGGGGAGCAAAGCCGCCTTGCAGGACGAACCCTTGACACAGACAAATTCGTACATCCATGCACATACGAGCCACAAGTCTAGGGCGTTAGGGACTCGGGATTAGGGTTTAGGATTTAGGGATTGGGGTTTAGGGATATTATCCCCCAATCATGGAGAATCAAATAGAAAAGAGCATGGAAAATGAAATGGAAGCTTGGACTATAAGGTAGTTTATAAGGGTTATATGAGCCATAGTCTTAACTCCTTAAAGGGGGGATCATGTAGTGGATTATATAGGGGTTTAGATATTTTAGGGTTTAGTGGTTTTTAAGGTTTAGGATTTTGGGTCTGAACTCCTTGAAGGGGGGGATATCTAGGGGAGTATATAGAGGACCATTATGGTGTTATTACGGGGAATACTAGGAGTTTAGACTATAACCCCTAGAATCCCCTACATAACCCTATATATAGCAGTTTCCATTTCATTTTCCATGTTCTTTTCCATTTGATTCTCCATTATTAAGGGGGGTACTAGGAGTTTAGACTATAGCTCAGATGATCAGATACTAGAATGTGTGTATGTCTAGGTTCTTACATGTTTGCATTTTTAGGTTGGGTACTGCCCCCCCTCAGTAACAGTTGGATAATAGATATAATATGGTTATTAATATAGCCCTAAATGGGACCCCTAATATAGACTGTTACTGGGTGGGGGCAGTACCCAATATTTAAGCTCCTTCAAGCAGCTGCATAACGTGCGGGCTCATGGTGCCATTCAAGATCCTTAACATCTCGTCGTGGCGTCTCTCTTTGTGAACAATTGAGGAGGCATCATGGGTTTCAAGATTCCTGCCTAATCCCCTCCCCCTCATATGAACCTCCCCCCCCTAATATTAAGTACACCCATCATGTGGTATACTATAACTAGCATATATTGGGAGTAATTATCTAAGATCAGAGGAGGTGGGGGGTTTAATGTAAGGGGGAGGAATTTAATGCGTCCCTTATGGCAGGCCAGCACTCGCTGAATACCAGAGCCGCACACATTCACGTATCTGCTAAGTCAAGGGAGTAGGGTTTTGGGTTTACGGACAGCACTAAGGATCCTAATCTGAGTGTCCTCCAGCCCTAAACCAGAGGTCAGATTGAGATGTGTACAATTCAGGCTTTGGAGCTGTCCGTACTACCCTCCCAGGTTCCCCGTTGGTCAACCTTAATTAGCCCTTGCCATCCTACGTTTATGTTTCTGGACTACATTGTCCGACCTTTTCCCTAAGGGTCCAAGGACCCAAATAATAGGGTTTTAGGGCCCAAATACCACTAATATTATGGTATTTGGGCCCTTAAACGCTATTGTTTGGGTCCTTGGACCCTTAGGGTTTGTGTTGGAGTACAGTGTGTCGCCTGTATAGGTACCAATTCGACGTGCTCTTTCGTGCCCCGTAGTCAGATAAGCCGGGGTTTGCCCAAGGTAGGTTTGCTGCCAAGGAACTTAGTTCGAGGTACCATCAAGTGCATACATCGTAAATGTAAAGAAGGGTTTCCTGATAAAGGTTGCTCAAGGTGCCATCATATGACCATGTCAGAAATGTGTAATTTCCTGATTACGGTAGCTTTCTGCGAAAGTTCATGTACAGCAACCCTGAAGAGCTGCGTTAGCCAAGCATGGGCCAGCCAACATGCGCTGCGGAGGAGCAGCTGCAGGCACATGTGGGGGTTTCTCAAAACGGTACAGTATGACAGTATGACGGTGCTCTGGTGTGGAGGTGCGGACAAACATGTGGAAGGGGCCTGGAAAGAAAAGTATTCGGGGAAGAACTTCTATGCCGTGAAGTTCCGAGAGCGTGAACACACGAGCTTTCCACGCGCCTACCCCCTGAAAGGGGCTGTATGAAGTCATGTAGGGGCTTGCGGATACTACCCCAATTATGGAGGACCGAATGGAAAGCAACGTGCAACATCAAATGGAAACTGTGTATATGGACTGGGCTGTGACGCAGAAGCCTGAAACAATGAACAGCGTCATTCCGCTATAGCCCTCATCTATAGTATTTTAATGTACCCGTATACACCCATCTATACCCCAAACACCGTTCTGATTATTTAAGCCCACCCTGCCCAGGAACTCAAGCCTAAGTTTTGCATTTGAGTGGAGTTTCTTGTCTTTCGGAAGTCTACTGCGCTCTGTGCAGGTACGTGCCCACTTGTTCCAGAAAAACCATTCAGATCACATGAGCTTCCTGATTTCCAAGTAGCACAGATCCTCACCGCTGGCACAAAAGGATCGTCTGACAGAGCTCAAGGATCTGCGTTTTAAGTCCAGTTTGGGAAGGATGGTTTCACGCATTGTTTTTTTTGTTTTTCAAGTTTCGTCCGCAAGCTGTGTTGAGTTGCCGCGTCATGTGTGCTATGTACGAAGGTCCAGTCGGGATAGGGAACTTTTGAGGCTATGTTATTATGTACCAGCAATGTCAAGATTTCCCAGGCAAACAATGCTGCGGACTGCCTGCAACTTTTGTAGAACCTTTTCTGGATGCGCATGCGATCAACCGCAAAGGGTCCAATCCGCAACTCTCAACCTTGCGGAGGAATGAGGGTTTAGGGCGCAACAATAGCACGCGAATGTTGAGCCGCAAGCCAAAAAACACCTAAACCCCAACAGCTCCTCATTCCTAGACCCTCCAACTACCCATTATTTAAGCCCAAATGTCTACTATTGATGGGCATAAGGATATAGTCCCCCATAAGTAGATAGAATATGGGGTATATGGGGATCTTATTATAATATACCCAAAGCCATATTCCATTTACTTAAAGGGGCCTATACCCTAAACCCTAAGCCCTAAATAGTGGTTTCCATTTTCTTTTCCATTATCTCTATATAACCCCAATAAAGGGTCCTAGGGTTTCCATTTTCCTTTCCATTATCCCTCTATAACCCCAATATATACCCTATACTCCCTATATAACCCCTATAATCCCTATAGTTTCCATTTTCTTTTCCATTATCCCCCTAACCCTAAACCCGAAACCCTAAACCCTAAACCCGAAACCCTAAACCCTAATAGGAGGGTCCTGGTTCTTGTCATTTGATGGTCGTGGCATTCTCACCTTTAAGGCTCGGCTTAGCTGAAGCCTTCAACCCCCAAAGTCCAAGCATTGCCCACAGTCTATACCTAGGGTTTAGGGTTTAGGGTTTAAGGGGTTTTGGGGTTTCGGTGGTTTAGGGTTTAGGGTTGTGGGTTTTAGGGTTTAGGGTTTCGGATCGTGGGTTTTAGGGTTTAGGGCTTAGGGTGCCCGAACCTAAATCCCTCTAAACCCTAAAACCCCCTCGCTCCCAACCCCAAAGATGTAAATCCCCTACCCCATACTCAAAGGGTACTAGCTGAATGTATACACTTGGGCGAGCCCCACAGCAGTTATTTGGGAACCCCCTTATGCCATAAGTATATACGATATACCCTGCAGAAACCCAGTTCTCCATTTGATTTCCCTTGTTTGACCTCCATTCTTGGGAAGCTATTTTTTCTGGCAACCCCAAACCCTGAACAATGCAGGCGAAGATGGAGCAGGAGATGGCAGCGGCCCGTGCCCAGCCAGAGAACGACGAAGATTTCGATGGAGTCACAGCATCCTATGTCCGTGCCCTCGTCCAGGGACAAGAATGCGAGCGAACACAACAGCGCGGGGGACCGAGTGAGAGGGGTCAAGATTGGAGGTTGCCTAAACCACGTCACTTACTGGTTCTTAATAGGGAATAAGGGAATATGACCCCTATATAATCCCTATGTGATAAATTTTCTTGGTTCCTTACTTAGAACCAGTAACTGAGGAGTGTTGAGGTGCAAAGACTGATCGTTGGGGTAACTGGAGTTCTTAAAAGGCGTAAAGGGGTTATAAGTATACTGGCTCTTGTCCCCGGACCCTCTAACCATACTTACATGGACCCTTTAGGATACCCTGCGCCCTAAAACCCTACACTATATACCGTCATGGACCCTTTGCGATACATCCCTTGATGAAACGAGGCATCCAAGTGCTGGTGAGCAGACTGGACGGTGTGGAGCACGTGCTGCAAGCAGCTGGAGCCTGTTCCTTGTAGGGTTTCTTAAATTCCCCCAAACCCCATTTACAGGGGATTACGTAGGGATACATAGGCATATATCGGGCTTGGGAATCAGGGTTGAGATCTTGCAAAGATTGGAGGTCCCATTTTTACGGAAAATGCCCTCGGTCAGGATTGTAGTACAGGGGGACGCCTTACTGTTGAAAAGCCCTTCTTGCGTCCAAGCCGGGGAAGCTATTACCGTTTTGAAGTGCGCTACGTTCAAATCCCCAACCAATTTCATGTCACGCAATCTTAAGGATGTAGCCCTGAGAGCATTGCAGTGGATCTTATCAGAATTCCTTATGATAGTCCCCATTGCCACGTTTAGGTAGAGCCAGACTGCAGCTTGCATGACTTCAAGCGCACCTGGTCAGAAACAAGACAAGGGCTTAGCTGCTTAGGGGAAGGGCTTAGGGGAGGATTTAGGGACGGGCCTAGTTTTGGGGTGTCCTTCAAATTCCAAGGGCCCACCAGTTGGAGAAATCTATCAGCATGTCAGAAAATTATGGGGCCCTTACTGACTGTAGTTGTATGTGTAGGGATGTAGGAACTATAAGAAGAGTGTGGGGATCACGAATGATGGTTCTATAGGGTACCCTCCAGGAAGTTGCACGAGGATTCTCTAAGCAACAAAGACCCTAAACCCTAAACCCTAAACCGTGTGACCTGACTCGAAGATACCGTGGCCCCTGTATGCCTTGTATGATTCAAGCGTCAACCCCAACATAGAGTGAACGCCTATCCCAATTAAGCATCCTCAAGTATAAAGCCCTAAACCCTAAAACCCTAAACCCTGAAACCCAAAACCCTACGCCTAAACCCTACACCGCGGTTTAGAGTTTAGGGTGAAACTGAACTAGGCCTCCGGTGCAAATATCTCGTCCCCAGGGATACTTTAGTCGCAGAACGTAGGAATGTATGGGGTTGCAGGGTTTAGGGTTCAGGGGTTTATGGTTTTGGGGTTTAGGGTTTAGGATTTACGGTTTAGGATGTACGGGGTCAGGGTTTGGGGTCCAGGGGTTTCCGAACATCGGCCCCAATATAGACCGCGGGAAACCCTCAACCCTATATACCCTTATATGCACCCCATATATAATCTCTATATTAATTTTGGCAAGCCCTAAGCCCCAAATACCCTTATTTAACCCCATATAACCCCTATATAGCCCCTAACCCCTAAACCCTAAACCCTAAAAACCCCTTTTATAGGGACCCCGTTTTGTAAATTTTACACGCAGCTACAGCTGCTCAAGCCCCAGTCTTTCAGGACCACCAACCCGAGAATCCCACACCGTAATCCCCTTTAAAGTTTAGGGTTTAGGGTTATTTGGGGGTATTATGGTACCCAATATTTTCATTTGGGGAGCCAAAGTTCTCAGCGCCTGATTCGCCTGACTGACTGACGTCCGTGAATGATAGTATGGTACCCAATAAAAGAGGAAGATTATATCCTCCTTTTGGGGTATCGCATTTTATATGAGGAATCTCATCTTACTCGGTTCAACCACCAAAAAAACCCTACTCAAATGTGGAAAGACCGGAACCATTCGGTTTAGGGGTTTAAGGGTTCAAGGGTTGGGGGGGTTAAGGGTGTAAGGGTTTATAGGGTCTAGGGGTTTAAGGATTTAGGGGTTTAGAGCTTGGGGACGCGAATTCCGGAGGCTCTGCCTTTCCCAAGCATAAAGCCCTAAACCCTATGCCTTCTAACCCCAAACCATGTAAGCCCCTCTAAGACCAATGCCGTACAACTGGGGTCCACCCAGCAATGGGTACCACAAGGACTGTTAAGGAACACGCCATATGAGCTATAGTCGAAACTCCTTAACGGGGGGTTATATAGGGGATTATATAGGGGAGTAATAGAGGGCTTATTAAGGGGGATACTAGGAGTTTAGATTATAGCTCATATGAAGGAGCTATTCCTATACAGGGGATTGACCAAACCTACAAGTCTCAAGCATATGAACCCTGCAAGGCCTACTGGTCAAGAATGGTTTGGCTCGCGAGGGCCTGGCGGTTGAGATGATACTCGAAGGAGTGCCCCTGAGCTTCTCGCTTGCCATCATCAAAATGCTTATAGAGGCCTTGCCAAAACAATACGGCCCCTAAATGCCCTCCAAAAGTAGAGGATCCCACATGGAGGGACTCCAGCAAGGGATACTGGTTTTGTCACATTGGCTTTGATGGGCGTCCGGGTTGGGAGCCTAAAAGGATCCGGGCCCGGAACTGTCAAAACAGGATGGGTCCCTTGCAGGAGCTTCCGGGGCTGTTTTTTTGAGGAGGGTTTATTAATAAGGGGATTTTGGTAACCCCACCCCCCAAAATTAGGACCCTATGGCTATCATATGATGGTTATAGGGTCCTAATATTGGGGGTTGGGGTTACCAAAATCCCCTTGTTATTTAAGGCTTAGGGCAGAAGGGAGCCTGATGATGAGAAACGTCCAGATAGTGCGACATTTAGCATCCCAGTAAGAAGTGCTTCCACCAGTGACAGGTGGCCAAAGGCAATTTTCAGGCTGTTTACCATGTGTTGTTCCTGCCTACAAACAAGGAGCCTATCGGCTCCAGCGCTCTGTTTAGGGTTTAGTCAGGGGGCTCAAAAGGTGGGATGAAGGTAGGTGGGTTAAAGGATCCTTAATATATACTCGACTATATTGGGGCTTATTTCCTATACCCCACCTTCCTTCATCCCAGCTTTTGAGCCTCTTGATTTAGGGCTCTGCTGAAAGGAACAAGGGCACAAAGACTCCTATTTTGATTCAAGGTACATTCTTCCATTGAGGTGTTTTGGGAAAATCTTCAATAAAACCCGAGGATTAAAATGCTGAGTCGCGGACCCTTCGCTTTGTTTGAGGTTTAGAAGCAGTTCGAGCAGGGTACTACATAGAAAGTTCCCAGGAATTATGGAGCAAGATCACGTCTTCCTTTGGCTAAGGGAGTCCAAAACAACATACTTTGATTTTGAACCTCCAACAACAGACCGCTCCTGTGTTCAAGTGTGTAATGCTCATAAGCTTCGTCGATCACAGGACTACGTTCAAAGGTCCCGAATATGGGCCCCCTACCTGTTCCCAGGCCCTAACTACGGACCCTTAATTGGGTTTCTTCCCTAAATCCTAGACCTTAAAGGTTTAATTGTAAACGCTAGCGCGCGCCCGCCTCGGCTGGGGGAGATTCCCAATGTAGGAACATGTAATTATAGA